AATGTAGGGAAAAGATTCAAAACATACAATGCATTTTTGTAGCACAATTCCTAACAGAGTGATTTTAGTGAATAGTTATAAATTTATTGTATGGCACTTTTTTTGGGTATACACTTAAAATTTTAAAAAAATCTAGCTCTATAATTTCAGGATGAACTCCTGTTCTCAACATACAAATTACAAAAAAATACTCAAGTGTATAAAACCATATCCATAAATGCTTATTCTTCCTCTGAATAAACTGGTAGATATTAATGAACTAAAACTCCTGAACAAACTCCATAAAACCAAATGGGACAAGCTAAGCAGTGGCTCACACCTGTAAACCCTGCGCTTTGGGACGCCGAGGCAGGAGGATTGCTTGAGCCCAGGAGTTTCAGACCAGCCTGGGCAGTGTAGTAAGACTTCATCTCTACTAAAAATAGAAAACATTAATCAGGTGTGGTAGTGCATGCCTGTAGTCCCAGCTACTCAGGAGGCTAAGGGGTGAAGGTTGCTTGAGCCCCAGAGTTTGAGGTTGCAGTGAGCTATGATCATGCCACTGCATTCCACCCTGGGTACCAGAGTGAGACCCTGTCTCAAAACAAACAAACAAAAAAAGCAGAAACAGGAGAGCTCAGGACAGACCACAAACAGTGAGACATAAAGTGCTATTTAAAAGAGGAAGTGGGGAACGGACACAGTGGCTTACACCTATAATCCCAGCACTTTGGGAAGCTGAGGCAGGCCGATCACCTGAGGTCAGAAGTTTGAGACCAGCCTGGTCAACAGGGCAAAACCTCATCTCTACTAAAAATACAAAAAAAATTAGTCAGGCATGGTGGTGTGCACCTGAAGTCCTTGGTACTTGGGAGGCTGAGGCATAAGAATTGCTAGAACTTAGGAGTGGAGGTTGCACCACTGCACTCCATCCAGCCTGGGCAACAGAGCGAGGCTCCATCTTAGTTAAAAAATAGAAATAAAAAATAAAAGAAGAAGTGTGATAATGGAAGGTTTTGGTTTTTTTTTTTCGTTTTTGCCTTCTAAAAAAAGCATGGTACCCAATGTAAAAGAACATTTTTAGGTTCTCAATTCTGGAATAAATAAACACTTGGCTATATAATTTTAAAAAGTTTTACCGTAAGGCCAGGCACGGTGGCTCACGCCTGTAATCCCAGCACTTTGGGAGGCTGAGGTGGGCGGATCATGAGGTCAAGAGTTCGAGACCAGCCTGGTGGTAAAACCCCGTCTTTACTAAAAATACAAAAATTAGCTGGGCATGGTGGTGCGTGCCTATAGTCCCAGCTACTCGGGAGGCTGAGGCAGAAGAATCACTCGAACCCAGAAGGCAGAGGTTGCAGTGAGCCAAGATCTCACCACTGCACTCCAGCCTGGGCGACAAAGTGAGACTCCGTCTCAAAAAAAAAAAAAAAAAAGTTTTATGTTAAATGTAGTATGTTGAACCTTCACAACTTAGAGATAAGTATAATTTATAGAAGATTATATGGGACTAATAAAACTAATTATTATAATAGCTATCATTTAGTCAGTGTCAATTATACCCTAAGTATTTTACACAGGTATTATTTTAATCATCATAATAAATTGGTGAGAAAGGAGAAAAAAAATACCCCAACTATTATCCCTATAGGGATGAGGCAACTGTCACACAGGATTACCTAAGTCACCCATGGGTATAGTTAATAAATAACAGGGTAGATATTTGAACCCACGATTGTTACGATTTCAAAAACCAATACTCTAAACCAGGCATGGTGGTATGTGCCTGTAGTCTTAACTACTCAGGAGGCTGAGGTGAAAGGTATGAGCCAAGAAGTCTGAGGCTGTAGTGTGCCATGACTGTGCCTGTGAACAGCCACTGTACTCCATCCTGGGCAACACAGTGTGACCCCATCTCTAAAAATGAAAGGCAAAAACCAAAGGACCAGCCACCCCAATATTCTTTCTAACCCAAATTGCTTCTCTGGGTAAAACATAAATAAATGGAACTTTAAGATTCAAGAAAATGGCCTTTAAGATTTCTTCTAACTCTAAAATATAAAGTTCTTTTTTTTGGCCGAGAGCTGTGGCTCATGCCTGTAATCACAGCACTTTGGGAGGCCGAGGCAGGTGGGTCACAATGTCAGGAGTTTGAGACCACCCTGGCCAACATGATGAAACCCCGTCTCTACTAAAAATACAAAAATGAGCTGGGTGTGGTGGTGGGGGCCTATAATCCCAGCTACTTGGGAAGCTGAGGCAGGAGAATCGTTTGAACCCGGTAAGAAGAGGTTGCAGTGAGCTGAGATCATGCCATGACACTCCAGCCTGAGTAACAGGGTGAGACTCTGTCTTGAAGAAGAAGAAAAAAAAAAAGTTCTTTTTCTAATGGGCTAAAACACCTGAGGGTATTAAAGCTCTAAGCCTCTGCCCCTTCTATCAATTCTCTAATCCCTACCCCATTGCGGGGGGCGGGGTTGGGGGGGGAGGAAAGGAGGAAAGGAAGAGAGAAGTACATAAAATAAATTTTTTCAGATACAAAAAGGTGATCCATAAGTAACGACGGAAGGAGTGAGTCCTCAGCTTCTGCTGATGGGAAGGTTCACGCTGAACATTTAGCAGGTGCTGCCTCTAAAGAGAACAGTCACTACGCTTATGACAGGGATTTTGCTCTCAGTAGTTCAGAGGCAAAATAAACTACAGACTGGAACAAAAGGTGTGAAATCTCTCACTGGAGTCATCACAAATTTACCAGGTCAAGAATTCCATATAAAGTTGTTTCGGCCTTCACTTGCAGATCATGAAAAATATGATGGAGATCCGCAGAATACTCATAAACTGCATACAATTACCACAATAAAAAAATACAAAAAGGTGTCCACATTGGAAAAAAGATATAATACAGATGCTCAGATTAGAAAACACATATACCCCTCAAGTTCACAAGCATATCTCTTTAGCGAATACAAAACTGACAGTGGTTAAACAGTTGGTAAGAATCTGAAGTTGCCATAAGGACTTCCAACTGAGGACGACATGTCTAAGCTCTGCCTCCAGAGCACTAGGGAATTAATGCAGTGGCACAGTGGCATCTGCAATCTGTGGAGCAGAAAGCAATTAAGTCCTAATGCCTGAGGAGCTTCAGATTTAAAAATGGAAAATTTTTTAAATTTAAAAATGATGAGAAAGTATTTCATTAAAATATATTTTAAATATATTTAAAAAAAAAAAAGTGGGCGAAAGAATAAGTAAAGAATTTAGATTGGTCATTAGAGAATAACTTCCTGACAGCAAAAATTGAGACATGGAACACATTATCAAAGGACATTATGTTGGATAAACTGAAGAAAATACAACCTTGTGAACGGCTGTCAACACAAATAGTGTCAACATACACACAAGATGGGGAAGTACAAATATAGTCTACTTGGCTCAGCCCCACTCATAATTTAAAATAGAAAAATAAAAAAAGGAAAGTGGTAAAATAAGCTTGACGGCACCAGTCAGGGGACTGCACTACAATTCTGACAGCTTACATACAAGTTAGCAAAATGCTAACCCTAGCCAAGTGCAGTGCTTCATGCCTGTAATGCCAGCACTTTGGGAGGCCAAAGTGGGAGAATCACTTGAGCCCAGGATTTTGAGACCAGCCAAGGCAACACAGTGTGAGTTCATAGCTACAAAATATAAAAAATTAGCCAGGTGTGGTGGCATGTTCCTACAGTACCAGCTACTCAGAAGGGTGAGGTGGGAAGATAGCTTGAGCATGGGATGTTGAGGTTGCAGTGACCCATGACTGCACTACTGCTCTCCAGTCTGGGTGACAGAGTGAGACCTTGTCTAAAAAAAAAGCTAATCCAAATATTTGTATACCATTTTAAAGAATCTATCAATGCACAGGTACTATTTTATAATTTCCTTCAATTCACTATGCATTAAGACACAGCTTCTCTATTTTCTCCATACATTCATATGAGAACTGGTATCCTAGTCTAGACTCAACACTGGTCATCACAAATGTACTGGTAAGATAAAACCCATAGCTTGTTAGTTTCTTAAATATGTGTTGGGAGAACTCTGAATGAAAGATACCACAAAGACAACTTCCTTCTGAGATTAAAAGCAAAAATAAAAAACCACACACACACATACACAACTCTGGCAGAACTGTTAGACCTGGGAAAATCATCTGTCTCATGCCTGCTCACCTTTTCTCTCACTCAAATGAAATACTCCCACAGGCAAAGATCCAAAGTTGATTGCCTCAGGAAGCTGCAGAGTCAACATTTTCATTTGCCCCTTTTCAATGTTTGCTGAGTTTTGATGTGAACTTTTACTAATCCATAAAGAATGGAAGTCTACACATTTCTGGTAGTAACAGAATTCTCTCACTCACTATGAAAAAGAAATATTTTTTCCTTTTTTTTAGCGGGGGGACAGATTCTCACTCTGTTGCCCAGGCTGGAGTGCAGTGGCACGATCTCAGCTCACTGCAACTTCCACCTCCTGGGTTCAAGTGATTATCCTGCCTCAGCCTCCTGAGTAGCTGGGACTACAGGTGCATGCCCACCACAACTGGGTAATTTTTTGTATTCTTAGTAGAGATGGGGTTTCACTGTGTTAGCCAGGATGGTCTGGTGATCTGCCCACCTCAGCCTCCCAAAGTGCTGGGATTACAGGTATGAGCCATCACACCCACCCAAAATAATGTTTTCTTAATGAAAATTATATATTGTCAGGAAAAAAGGGCTATTTCCATTAAGAAATAAACATACCCAAATCAGCCAAGTTAACACTTGTGTTCCTTCCTATTTCTCTCTGCAGTCACTAACTGCCACCTCAAAGAGAAACAGCACAGTCTCATCTCAGCTTTTGGTCCCACCATACCTGCTTCATTTATACAAAACAGAAAAGACTGTGATCATTATTTATTTGGTCCTAGTAATATATCCCATGGAAACACAGTAGTTGGGAGCGTAAGTATTTGTTTTTGGAAAATGTAAAATCCAAGGAAGACCTACCTTGTGAGTAGAGAAGGATTTGCATCTCTAAAAGAACACAGGTAAACACCTGCACCAGGTTCTCTAATCCCAGGAGTTCAAATGCTTCCCGAAGTGGGTAATCAGAGAGGGGGAGCTCACTGGGCCCAGGCCTCTGGCAGACGACAGGTTCATAAACACCATAAAATTTCAGTGACCTCCCTGGAGGTGGAAGGGGTACTTCATAAAGAATATTATGGATATAGCTTTCAAGTGGCAAGGGTGGTGGCTGCTGCGAGGTAACAGCCTTGTAAAGCTGGATAAGGAATTTCTTGCAGGCCTGCATGAATGGTAATGGTGTGATCAAGCATATACTTTTTGAAACATACAGGGTGTCTCTGCTGATATCATAGGAGTTGTATCGCTGGAGTTTCAAAAGGGAAGTTGTATCTCCTTCATCAAGACTACTTGCCAATGAGTCCATGCTGCAGGAAGATGAAGCATACACGCTGCTGTAATGCTCAGCGTTGTGCATCTGGTAGAGTGTCTGCATTGCTGTGCAGATTTGCTTACTTGTAACTTCTTCATAAAAAGTGAGAACAAAACCATAGGTGCGAGAACCATCTTCCCTGGTAATTATAAATGAGTGAAACTGGGGGTCTTTATTGTCAGTTTGTGTCCTGAAAGATAGCCCTTTAGGCATGCACAACTGCAAGAAAGAAAAAAAAAAGCATCAGAATGCAGTACACAAATTAACTTTAAGCCAGAAACAAATGTTGTTTTTTAACACAACAGGAACCAAAAAGACAGGTTTTATCCACATTTAACAGTGGCAATAGCCTTAAATTAGAAATACATTGTAAGTTCCTCATATACATATAAATAAAATTATTCTTAAAAAGAATATATACAAGGGAAAAACTTTTACTGTGTGATGTTACATGCAGGAAGCTTTACTAAAAACAAGACAATCATTGATTTAGTCCCAGAGTAAACCTCTAACTAAGGCTGTGGTCTTCAGCAAACTATGTAACTTCTGTGAGCTCAGTTCCTTTATCTACAATAGTTGCTACATCAATGACTTGAAGATAGAGTATGCAAAAGCACTTCACAAATATTTAGTACTTAAGTACTATTTTTGTATTAATGATGAAAATGTTTCAGGAGAGGAGAGAAATAGGAAAAGCCTCATTTAGTAAGTTAAACAAGGAAGAATAAAAACAACAGTATCATCTTTGCTATTTTTAATAGTATGTTATTTTATCCAAGAAAAAGAAGCTTCAGAAATCGAAAGCTTTTTGATCTACTAAAGCAGAAGTACAGAAACAAGGCATTTTAGATTACTTCTAGTAGAGATTATGCTCTAGTTCTTGGGAACTACCCAGGATTGAGTCAAACTTGGGAACAAAATTACCCAGAGGAACTAAAGATGCTATATTTAAGATACTTAAAATGCACAGAAAATTAGAATGGATTCTTTAAAGCACTTTAACAGAAATGAAATTACAGAAAAGTTGAAACATATTAAGGAAAACAGAACTTGTAATTCAACCAACCTAATAATCATTATTCATATTTAGATATTTCTACTTTTATATTGTAATATGCTTTTTACATAGAAATAAGTTAACCATATATTACTTTCTAGTTTTTTCCATATTTAATAACTGATATGTTACAAAATTTAGACTGTCTCCCATATCCCCACATTATGAAGAAAACACAATTCCTTCCTTCCTTCCTTTATTCAAACCATCAAAAATATATATTAAGTGCCTTTTATGAAAGGGGATTTGTGATACAACGGTGAGAAGGACAGACATGGCCTATGCTCCTATGGTGTTTCCAGTCCAGTGAGGATAACAGATGAGTTTTAAAAATCATAAACTATAAAGTAAGGGAGTGTTATGATAGGGTAAATAAGAGTTACTATGGGAAAAATATATAATAGTACGAAGATACACATTAGAAAAGAGGGAGCTATCAGGATAAAATGAAGCCCAAAAACTAAAACCTCAGGATGAGTAAATGTCTTAGTAGATAAAGATTCTAGTCAGAGAGGACAACATGTGCAAAAGCCCAGAAAAGTCTGAGGAACTGAAACAGGTCAGTACGGGTGGGGCACAGAATGCAAGGTGGGCAGACATAAGAGAAAGCAAGAGAAATCATTAGGGGTTAGCCCATCAAGGGCCTTGGTAGGCTATGTTAGTACTGTGGGGAGGACAATGAGAAACCTCTAAAGGGTTTTTAGGAGAGGAACAGAATTAGATGTGCCTCTTAGCACATCCATTTTGGAACACTGAAGGGAGTGGTTTTCAAAGGGGTTCCAAGGAGGCAGCAGGAATGTCCCAGAGCCTTGGAAGGGGGTGAGAGACTAGAGGAGGAAGCTTAGAGGGCCACTGTCCTTCCTTCCCCTATGCACATTCCACTTTCATTTATTTTGTAGAGTAGAATTCTTTCAGTCTTAAGATTTCTGGGTTCCCACTGCTTAAAAACAAAATCTTGATGGTGGCCTAGGATTAACGCAACACAACTGTCATTAAGCATGAAGACAGGTGGTGTACTAACTGTTCCTCACAGCCATTTCAGATTGTGGTCCTTCCATTCTCCCTAAAAACTCTTGGCTTTGAAACTCATGTCATGATTGTGCTACCACATTTTGGGTTTCTTTTCTATCCAACTTCATTTCTGGAGCAACTTCTTCCATGATTTTACATATACTCTGTTAACTCCTAAATCTACAATCTCATGAATCTGACCCTTAAATGAGAAACTACTTGACAATCCCATCAAGATGTGAAATAGGCAATTCAAACCTACCATGTCCCAAACTGAAGTTCTGATTTCTTCCTCCAAATCTGTTTCTCCTTTTATCAATCTTTTCCATAATTCCATCCATCTCATTTGCCCAAGACAAAAACCTTGGAGTCATCTTTAACTTCTTCCTCTCTTTCTCACTTACCCCATTATCCAATCCATTAGCAAATATTACCAATTTTATCTTCAAAAATATATGCAGAAATCAATTGCTGCTGCTTCTTTTTTATTTATTTCTTTTTAGAGATGGGGTCTTGCTCTTATCACTATGGATGAACTATAATGGTACAATCACAGTTTGCCGGAGCCTCAAACTCCTGGGTAAAAGCACTCCTTCCGACTCAGCCTCCTGAATCAGAAAGTAATTGCTTCAATCTTTACTCTTACCACTCTAATCTAAGCCACCCTCTTCTCTTGTCTGGATATAACAACTGATCTCTGCTTCTGCCGTTGTCCCCCATAATCTATTTTCCATGTAACAGCCAAAGCATCCTCAAAAAATATATTACAACTTGTTACTCTTCCCAAAATTCTCCAATGGACTCTCATCTCACTAAAAGCTGACGTCTTTATAATGGCCTATAAGAAAGCCCTGCATGACTCAGCCCCCAGCAACCTCTCTGCCTTCATCTTGTGCTAACTCACCCACTCTGCTCCAGCAACAATGGCACATTACTGTTCTATAAACACACCCCGAATTCTCCCATCAAAATCTGCTCTTATCTTTCCCAGCAACTCTCTTCCCCTTGGCATCCTCACGACTCATTCCTTGTGGCAGATACAGCTCCAATAATATTTCTACTTCCACACACTCTTCCAAACCTTGACACTCTCGCATTAAGTGGAGCCCACTCTCCTTGAACCTGGATGGGCTGCTAAGAATGCCTCTACCAGGGTCTGGAAAACTTTTTCTATAAAGAGACAGGTAAGTATTTTAGGATCTGGAGGTCAGTCTTTGTAATTATTCCACTCTACACTGCATTAGATGAGTGCAAAAGTAATTATGGTTTCCGCATTGTTGGAATTTGCCATTTGATATTGGAATACATTCTTAAATAAATGCGATTATGTTACATATCTCCCCGCCCCACTGCTGAGATGGAGTTTTGCTTTGTCACCCAGGCTGGAGTACAGTGGCATGATCTTGGCTCACTGCAACCTCTGCCTGCTGGGCTCAAGCAATTCTCATACCTCAGCCTCCCGAGTAGCTAGGACTACAGGCGTACACCACCATGCCCAACTAATTTTGTATTTTTGGTAGAGACAGGGTTTCACCATGTTGGTCAGGCTGGTCTCAAACTCCTGACCTCAAGTGATCTGCCCACCTTAGCCTCCCAAAGGGCTGAGGGATTACAGGTGTGAGCAACTGCAGCTGGCCTCAAGCAGTTTTCTTATTCCAGTTCAAAATGGGTCATAAAACAGTGGAGACAATCACAACATCAACAATGCATATCCATGCTAACGAACACACAGTGCAGTGGTGGTTCATGAAGTTTTGCAAAGGAGATGAGAGCCTTGGAGATGAGAAACACAGTGGCCGGCCATTGGAAGGTGACAACGACCAACTGAAGGCAATCATCGAAGTAGATCCTCTTAAAACTACCTAAGAGGTTGCCGAAGAACTCAATGTCAACCATTCTATGGTCATTTGGCATTTGAAGCAAAATGGAAAGGAGGAAAACTCCCTAAGTGGGTGCCTAATGAGCTGAGTGAAAATTTTTAAAAATCATCATTTTTGGCCAGGCACAGTGGCTCACACCTGTAATCCCAGCACTTTGGGAGGCCGAGGTGGGCAGATTGCCTAAGCTCAGGAGTTTGAAACCAGCCTGGGCAACATGATGAAACCCCATCTCTACTAAAATAGAAAAAACTAGCTGGGCATGGCTGCATGCACCTGTAGACCCAGCTACTTGGGAGGCTGAGACAGGAGAATTGCTTAAACCAGGGAAGAGAGGATGCAGTGAGCCAAGATCGTGCCACTGCACTTGAACCTGAGTGACAGAGCGATACCAAAAAAAAAAAAAAATCATCACCATTTTGAAGTGTCATCTTCTCTTATTCTACACAGCAACAACGAACCACTTCTCAATCAAATTGTGATGTGCGACAAAAAGTGGATTTCACATGACAACTGGCAATGACCAGCTTAGAGGATGAACCAAGAAGAAGCTCCAAAGTACTTCCCACAGCCAAACTTGCTGACCAAAAAAAGGTCATGGTGACTGGTAGTCTGGTGCCAGCTTGATCCAATACAGCTTTCTGAATTCTGGCAAAACCATTACATCTGAAAAGTATGCTCAGTAAATCAATGAGATGCACCAAAAACTGCAAAGCCTGGAGTGGGGACTGGTCAAAAGAAAAAGCCCAATTCTTTTTCACAACAATGCCCGACCACACATAGCACAACAAATGCTTCAAAAGTTCGGCGAATTGGGCTACAAAGTTTTGCCCCAACCACGATGTTCTCATGATCTCTTGCCAACTAACTACAACTTTTTGAAGCATCTCGAAAACTTTTTGCACGGAAAACACTTCCACAGCCAGCAGGATGCAGAAAATGCTTTCCAAGAGTTCATCAAATCCCAAAGCACAGATTTTTTTTATGTTACAGGGATAAACAAACTTATTTCTTGCTGGCAAAAATGTGTTGATTGAATGGTTCCTACTTTGATTAATGAAGATGTGTTTGAGCCCAGTTATGATTTAATATTCAGTCCCGAACTGCAATTACTTTTGCACCAATCTGAAAACACAAAGGTATGGCTTTGTTCCAACACAACTTTATTTATAAAAACAGGCAATTGGACAGATTTGGCCTGGGGGCCACATATGCCCACCCCTGGCCTAGTCAAGTAAAATGCAACAGCAGTGACAAGTGACATAGTGACTTTT